CAAAAAAAAATTTGGAAATAGATTTTCTTTAACATTATGACCATAGAGAAGATAAACATAATTCAAGTGTCGTATTAATTTAATATTAAAATTTATTTATTTTAAAATAAGCTTGCCTATTAAACTATGTATTTTCCTACAAGAGTAACAACATTATAACATAATTCAATTGTCGTATTAATTTAATATTAAATTCTATTTATTCATTTAATAGTAAATTTATTAGAAAATTTTCTTTCAAATCCTTGTATTTCAATTAGTCCATAAGATATTTTTATATTATAATAAATATATTATTTTAGATATTTGATTCATCAAATGCTAATTATCATATTTAAGGTATTTTATGAACAATTTTACCCTTATAAATATTTTTTAAACCCTTAGCAATTTGGTGATGTAAACATTCATATTAAATAAATTTGACATTGTGAATGTTCACATTGACAATGTGAATGTTTATATCATGAAACACTACAACAAAAACATACTTTAGTGGCACTACACTAGTGGCATATTTTTTGAAAATGCCACAAAAAATGATATTTAGTGGCACGTTTTTGAAAAGTGGCACAAAACGACAAACATAAAAGGCTCTAGTGACATTTCAATGAACAAGTGTCACAAAACTACAACAAAAACATACTTTAGTGGCACTACACTAGTGACATATTTTTAGAAAATGCCACAAAAATGATATTTAGTGGCATATTTTTGAAAAATGCCACAAAACGACAAACATAAAAGGCTCTAGTGACATTTCAAAGAACAAGTGTCACAACACTACAACAAAAACATATTTTAATGACACCATACTAGTGGCATGTTCTTAAAAAATGTCACAAAAAAAATATTTAGTGGCATTTTTTAGAAAAATGTCATAGAGCCACAAACATACAAGGCTCTAGTGGCATTTCAATTAAAAAAAGTGTCACTTCACTACAACAAAAATGTCACTACAAAAACTTTTTATGAATATTTGCAATGGCATTTTTTAAAAAATGCCAGGATACTAGGTAGGTGCAAATTACTTTTTATGGCACTTAGATGAAAAGTGTCATAAACAAATATTTTATAGCATTTTGAGAAATGCCACTAAGCCAAAAACTTTCCAAGCTTATAATGACATTTTTGAAAAAATAAAAAATGTCAATATATTTTCTAAAATTTTAAAATGCAGTAAATGATTAAAAATAAATGAATTAAACTCAATATACACTACAAGAAAAAGCATATTCGGCGACTAAATTTCCTGACCAAAAAAATTTGGTCCAAAACAGCATTAGTTGCCAAAAAGTAAAGCTTTTTCGCAACTAAACAATTTTAGTAACCAAAAGTCTACAATTGGCGACTAAAACTAAGGCCAAGTTTGGCATCTACTAAACAATACAAAAAGTTAAAAAGTCACTATCCTATTTAAGTCACATCATTTTATTTAAATCACATCACCTCTCTAACACATCACATCAAAATCAACCCAAACTCAACCCATATAAGTCAATAAGTCAAAAAGTGCACTTTTTTAGAACATCTCAAACTAACCCTAAGTTTGGTCGCTGATTATATGGGTTTTAGTGACTAAAAAATTTTTAGTAGCCAAAAGTAAAGCTTTTTGGCGGCTAAAAAAATTTAGGTAGCCAAAAGTCTACAATTGGCGACTAAAAAATAAGTTTTAGTCGTGATGGTGTAATGACACTTACAAGTGTCACTAACTCTTTTTTTAATGGCGCTTGATAGTGCCACAAATAATATCTACCATGACATTAAAATGTCATTGAAAGTTTTCAGCCATGATGGTGCAGTGGCACTTGCAAGTATCTACCGTGGCACTCGTATCTACCGTGGCACCGATAGAAGTGGCACTTGTTCAAAATGCCACAAGACCAAAAAATGTCATTAGAAGAATAGTTTTGTGGCACTTTCAAATGTCACTAAACTAAGAAAATGTTGTAGTGACACTTGCATAATTTACCCTACCTTTTTGTATTCACTTCAAAATTGTAGTCATCACAATCACTTGGTGTTTAGGTTATTTGGAAATTTTAATGTTCAATTTTCTAAGTTGGGTGGTAAATTTATTTATAGAAAACTAATTTATTGGTTGTGTATGAATATGTAGATGTATCTATAGGGTATGATATTCATGTACCTACAAGCTTATATTAATATGGATGTATGTACTATATAAATAATATATGTTGCATATATAATCATGTGGTGCTATAGAGATGTAGTGGGAAGAGTGTGGCGTATAAGGTTTATGGTGCGGAAGGTTGGTGGTTCGAGTCTCCGCAAGAGCGGATCAAATTGTTCTACAACGAATTATCATCATGAATGACACTTGATAGCGTCACGAATAGTGTCTACCATGACATTAAAGTGTCACTGAAAGGTTTTAGTCTTGATGGTGTAATGACACTTACAAGTGTCACTAACTCTTTTTTTAATGGCGCTTGATAGTGCCACAAATAATATCTACCATGACATTAAAATGTCATTAAAAGTTTTCAGCCATGATGGTGCAGTGGCACTTGCAAGTATCTACCGTGACACTCGTATCTACCGTGGCACCGATAGAAGTGGCACTTGTTCAAAATGCCACAAGACCAAAAAATGTCATTAGAAGAATAGTTTTGTGGCACTTTCAAATGTCACTAAACTAAGAAAATGTTGTAGTGAAATATTTACATTATCAATGTGAACATTAATACACGATTCACTCTATTGTTATTAGTGATTAGGTTTCTCTCATGTTCACATCTCAATATGAAAGAACTTGAGGAGACCGTGGAGCCCATTACAAGTCTCGTTTCGATGATTCGAACCATTCACTTTTTAGCACTCGTTGAGTAGAATATTAGTGCAAAAATTCAAGATGACCAGATATCGCTAGCTATATGTTTAAATCAAATTTGTATTACAAAAAAATAGGTAGTAATTCTTGAATTATATTTGTCGTCCATTTTCTTAAAACAAATATGATTCAAATATACAGTTATCGACGTCCAATTATCTTAAATTTTTTTATTAAACGGTTTGGATCACTGAAATCGATTCTAAAATGGGCCTATCAAATCCAAACGCTCTTTCAAGTTGAGATGACAACTTAAGAGAAGTCAAGCCCTATTATTAGAGATATTCATAAGACTTATTAGAATATAAAAAATAATTTAGACTGCCGCTTTTGGCAACCCAAAAAAAGCCAACTTTTTTTTTGAATTTTTTGGCCTTTAGTGATTTTTTTTCAAGATTATGCCAATTTTTTTTTTTCTTTCGATCCATCTTGTTGAGACAAATCTAAAAAGTTTTTTTTTTTTTTAAATTTTCAAAAAAAATAAATTAATTAAAAAGCAAAATAAGCTAAAAACGATTGCTTATTTTTATCTCTTCTGATTTTTTTTTATAATAATTATAATTTTTCGGTTCGCCTTGTCAAGTTGAATCTAAAAAACCTAAGCTATGTTTGGTTAGACTTTCAAAGTGTGATTCCACCCTTTTGTTTCAGTATGATGTTTGTTTACAGTTTTTAAAAATTGATTTCACACCCACTTTTCAAAACACGTCTACCCGATCATTCTCCTGGATGTCCGACCGGTTGACCGGAATAGTATTTGGTTTTTTTTTTTTTGCACCTGTTATTTTTATATTTTTAATAAAAAAATATTTTGAAATTTTTTTTAAATTTTTTTTATGAGTTTTGAATAGAATTTTTGGTTGTGTGTTTGGTTATGAATTGTAAATTTTTGAATCAAATATCATACGTCACATCGCTCGATTCAAACTCAATTCCAAATTTATAACCAAACAAATTTTCCTCACTCAAATCACAATACCAAAACTCATAAACTCAAAATATAATTCTATTATCAAATCATAATTTTAAAACACTACCAAATGCAACCCTAAATTTTTAAATTTTTTAAAAAAAATTCATTAAAAACAAAAATAGATCAAAAAAATAAGTAAATCCCAAAACAACTAGGAACAAGTAAAGATAAATTTATGAATACTTGCCCCTTTATTTATTTTAGGGTAAATTACAAATACACTTCATGAGATTTGATTAAAATATGAATCGCCCCCTTATAGTTTTAAAAATTACATTCCACACTCCTAAGGTTTCTAATTTCATAACAAATTGCCTATTTTATTAATAAATCATCAAATCAATTAATCATTTTTAATGATATTAAAAATATGTTTCAATTAATAATTTATGTAATTTTATTATTGTATAGAAGAGTAATTATAAATTTCATTTTTTTAATTAATTCTGTAAAATAAAAAATTCTAATAAAAGAGTATTTATAATTTTTCAAACTATATGAAACAATCTATATTTTAAGAAAACTTCAAAAGGTGTATTTATAATTTACCCTTTATTTTAAAATAAGTTTGTCTTATGTTTTCAGTATCTGTGTGGATCCATTTAAGCTAGCGATGCTTGAGTAGTGCCTACACTGCCGGAAAAATGACATTTAGCGGCGTTTTAAAAACACCGCTATAGATACAATAAACGTCACTAATTCTTTTTGTGACGTTTAATACCAAACACCTATAATGCGACCGTCGCTATAACTTTATAACTTTTTAAAAACATCGTTATATTACTATAAGCAGCTTTTTTCAAAACGCCACCAAATGTCTCACCCTATGACGTCGCTTTGATTTTAGCAACATTTTCAAAATGCCATTGTATTTTTTTTTAAAAAAAACTGACCATTAGCTTTAGAATTTATGTGATGTTTTGAGAAATGCCGTGATATTATTATTATTATTATTTAAATATGGACAAGGACCTGCTATTGATGTAATAATAAATAAGAGGGCAGCCTAAATAATAATACATATATACGGTTTTAGGAGCACATAAACGAATCACAAATATAAAATAGAACGCATGAATATTTAGATCCTGATTATGCAAATGTTGAATTTATCTCATCAGATATTGAAACCAAGTTATGTACTCGTGACATGGGTTTGACATACTATTCTGAGACTGGAAAAGAAGAAATTTAAGCTCAAAGCGTTAATCTTTACATGCTTACAAACTCGGAAGGCCTTGTTACATAACGATTTAAAAAGCAAAAAACAAAAAGTTCGGTTAAGGGGGTCTCATCAGAGAGTAAAACCCATTTTTCTGGTGTAGCCAATTTTGGGGTCGGGTAGTTATCTGTTGTGAGAATCCTGATGATGCTGCAGCAGCTGCAAACAATTGCAAAGCATTGATGAACAGCCTTTGCTGATTGTTGCTCATTGACAGGGAGAGGTGCTTGCCTCCGGTGGTGGCTCCAATTTGACTTCCATTGCTGCTGTTGCTAGGATACTGAACCTAGAACCACGAGATTAAAACAATTTATTAGCCGATCTAATTAATTAACCCAGTTATACCCAACTCATGAAATGGGTTTCAATACAGACTTGATAGTTTGATGAGGGTGAAAACATGTGAAGCATTGAGTTTTCACTCTCCTCGACGAATTGCCCGGGTCTCAGTGAACTCGGAGATTGAATGTGGGTTTGGCTCAGAAGTTGCACTGTCTCGGTCTCATTGTACCCTTCTCTTCTATAGGAATTAATTCTATATGGTTCTTGTTGAATATTGAGCTGGGTTCACATTAATATAAGTTGTGGAAATTATTAATATTATTAGAATAAATAGTTCAATTAAAGAAATTAACGAAATTAAACTAAGCAGTTTCTTTGTACCTGTGGCCTAAATGCCCAGTTGTGCCAATCTGCTTCAAATGGTATGGTAGTACGATGCTGATCCAACTGATCAACATTTTGGATTTCATTTCCCAATTCTCGGCTGTTTTTGTGTTTTGAGGTCGAACTACCCAAGCTCAAATCTAAGTTATGGTCCGGTGCAGCATTTTTGGGAGATATTGGGAAACAGATATATAACAATCAAATTTGATTCAGAAACACTTTGAAAAAACAAACATTATACAGAATTGGCATCAGTATTATTCAGTACTATAATTACTAGTAGATTTGAGCTCATCTTCATAGATGTTGGGATAGAAGTTGATGACAGCCTCCTTGCCATTACACTTGATTGCAGCTTTATCATAAGCCCTAATGCAACAGGCTGGCAATCAAAACCAGAACCCTCATCAAGGAAAATGAAAGTAAACTCGCTTCCTACTTAAAGAAAAATTTCAACGAGGACTCTGCAATCAATTCCCTGTCAAAAATCAAAAGAATGTGTAATTCAACAAAGGGACACATGTCTTCGAAAGGATTTGAAATCTTGAAGATTGGATTGTCACTTGGAAGAAGCTTATAGGAGCATGTGTGAAATTGATAAAAGCAGGAAAAGGGAAAAAATAAAACAGATTCAATCCTCTAAGAGAAAGAGAGAGCAAGAGAGTGAGAAAAAAACCATCTCCAAAAATAAAACAAGAATAAAACCATATAGTACTTTCAGCATGACTTTCAAATCAACCCAAAATATGTTTATCAAATTCGGAGATGTGTTGGAGTCATCATTCCACTAACATACATCGTGATTTTAAAAGAAGCAAAAATTGAAAAGAAAATTGGAACAAACCTCAGGCCCAAGAAATCGTTCATAGCTGATATCACAAGACTATGGTGCCCCTGTCCTGGGTTTGATTCCTTTATATTGCTTGAAGTATTTAGCTGGTTCTCTGTCATACTCATTGAACTCCTAAAATCATAGAAGAAAAAGGCATATCAGTAGAATAATGTTGGATTAAATATTTCAGATTCATATGAATATAAAATTCTGAAAACAAAATATTTTAAACATATTCATGCTCAGCACAGAGCATGAATTTGTTGACTAATAATTTTCCAAAGTAATGAAGATAGTAAATGACTACCTTGACAATATCGGAACTAGTGTAGCAATATGTTTCCTTCACTTTACTTGAAAGGAATCTTCAGGCGAAACATGCTCTCCTCTTTCATACAAGAAACAATGTCAAAATAAAAACCCTTGATAATACTATCTATTAACTTGATTCTATATATGATAGTCTCAGATTCAAATAAGTACAAAAAAAATCAATATATAATCTTAATTGACAAACTTCAATAATTAGGTGTTTGCATTGTGGGCCACATAAAGTGAAAGAAAGCATTACAGAAATTCATAAAAGCATGAGATTTTGTATGTTATTTCAACTAGAGAGTGAATGAGAGAAAGACAGGAGACAGCACCGATAGTAATGATGTATTATACTCAACACTATCTGTATACACAGATCTCAATTCACAACAAATGAAGTAGAATGGCAAAGCATCCATGCTCGAAACGATTGAACAAAGGTTTTCCCTGTACAAGACTGAACAAAGAATATAGTATCAATGATAAACTTCAGCAAAAACAACCACCACAGCCATGGATGAGAGGACAATAATCAAGATAACTAGTTAGTTGTGCAAGTTCATCAAAGTTAACGGACAAGAACATGCAACAAAAATTTCTTAAATACTAGATGTCGTTAAATGTGTACAGAATTTGAATCACCATAGAAGGTACTTGGCTATCCATCATATTAAGAATCATTCAGCATTATAAATATATAAGATGAATGCATACCATTCTCGGTTAAATAACTATAATAAATACCTGAGGGTGAGGCACCATGTCTCCGCTCAACATTTGAACAGCAAGGAACTACAAAAAACAAAATAAACTTAGATTCTCATATTGGGCCTTGGAGCTTAACTGGCACAAATTGATAAATGGTTCAAATAATGAAGGCATACCTATTATTGTTGACATAAGATGATACCCTGTTGACTTCAGTGCGACTGAAAAATATTATCATTGTGGTTGTTCAATATGATTGTATGAATACTCTTCTACTGCTGTATATATACATTTGATGTGAAGAATTCAACATTGTTCCTATTTAAAGACTTTAATTGCTTATACTCACCTATTTCACATGAATGATGTTCCTTTTATCATTCCAGAATTCCTCTTTAGTCCTTTGATGCTGTTACAGCATTTTCATTTTCCTGGAAAAGGACAGCATCTAGTGAAAAAGAGTTTTTGAGATCGAGAGTCATTAATGTCTAGTACTATAAGAACAACTCTTAGTCGGAAAGGGCTTATACCATCTTGAAAGCCTTACTTGAAGAGAAATACCTCTTTAACAAGTATTTGAAAGTCCTAGTTAAGAATGGGTTCAATACCTTGTTTTGGTTTGACAATTAGATCGGAATCAGCCCCCTTAAATCTTTTGAGGAGAATATGAAAGTTAGAGACTGCTGGTCCAAAACAGCCAACCCCTCTAAGGCTCTCTTGGGTACTAGTCAAAGTTTTTGTATGATAATTTACTAGGGATCATAGGCCTACAAAATCAGTCCACATTGGTTGGATTCCTCCTACACGTGGAAAGTACAAACTTAACACGGGCAAGGTATATAGCTAAAGTGTAACGATCCAAATTTCAAAAACGTTTTAATTATATTTACTGATTCATTATTACTTCTTCAGTATATTTAAACTTGTTATTTTGCATTAGAATTGACTATTTTGAACATTGAGGAGTTAAACATCAACCAGGAGTGATTCTTGCTTAAACTTGATCAAAACCCCAAAATTCAGAAAGTGTAAACACCTTTCACTATTTTGATCATATCTGTTTTTATAGTTGGAATTTTGATGTGAGCTCCATTTAGGTCAATTATGAAATTGAGTACCCAATTAGACATTCATGGGCATGTTGTGAACAGAATAAACAGGTTCAGGCATATTTCAAAACAATTATACATTGGTTACTAGGTGAGAGGGTAATTTATATGAAAATTGGGCCGAGCTGGGTAATGGGCCGTCATTGGCCACAATACGAAGGGCTGAGTAAAAAGGCTTTGAAGTTAGTCCGGTCCTAGGGCCCCGAAGCTAGTCCGGTCCGGAGGAGACTTGAAGTTAGTCCGGTCTAAAGACGCTTTGAAGTTAGTCCGGTCTCAGAGTTAGCCCGGTCATAGCGTATTGTGGTTAGAACGATCAGAATCTTACTATTCGGTAGCTCGGTCTAATCACACCATGGTTTGTACATGAGAGAACCGAGATAAGGTGTAGTGAAAGGAAGAACCGAACTAGGGATAGTTTGGCCTACTCTGCGGGTCAACATAGCCATGATTACCTCGGTCCTATTAGAAACCTACCATGGTAGAACCATCTCACTTGGTTTAAGCAGTGAGGGGGTGTTGAAGGATAAGCATTATCTTTCAGGAGTATGAATCCTAGGAGGACTCTGCATGGAGAAGTAAAAGTCCTACTAGGATTGTGCCACACGAAACCTATAAAAGCTCACACACAACACCTTTGGAGAGGTAACACAACTTTGTTTTCTGAATACACAGAGCTTTTGTCTATTTGTCAAGCTTACTGACTTAGGCATCGAAGAGGTTTCCGGCACACACTCGCCGGTTAGCTCACGTTTGTGTTTTCAGGTAATAAAACGACGTCATACGGAGGAGCGCAGACTTGATCAACAGGATTATACGAGAAGGTTTATTTCTTTCCTGTACAATTGGCGCCGTCTGTGGGAAAAACAAACAGGACAAAACCTCTTGATCAAGCTTTACCTCTTTAGGAACAATGGCGCACAATGAAGAATTACCACAGTTCGCCATCGACGGGCAAACACCAGATGGGGGTGCAAGGCGTGAAAGATTACCTTCTATCCCTCCCATGACGGACTTGGAGCCCTAACAACATAACTCCAGGAGGGATATGAGGGGAAGGCAAACTACCAGCCCCTATCACTCTTATTCACAAAGTCCTGACAGGCAAAGGCGGAGGATTGATCTTCAAGTTCTGGAGGATCGCGTGAAGGAGCAAAACGAATTAATAAGAAAGATGGCGGCGGACATGGAGGCCTTGAAGCGCCAGATAAAGGGAAAAGGAGTGGTGACAGGAGAGGGGCGCAAAAACAAGACACCCCCTCGCCGCTCAGAAGACCGTGGAAGGTATTCCACACCGTCACAAGCAGAGAGTAGAAGCCTTAGGACAGGCGATACTCAGTCTAGAACCTTCAGAACTCGTTACTCCATGTCTGAGAGAACGAGATCATTGAGGTCTTACACAGAGGGAAGTACCTACCGACCCTCGCACTCGTACCAGACATCATCCAAACAGACGGAGTTGCCCAAATCATCCGATTTGCGGATCATGCTGGAAGAAAAGGCACGATGGAAGGAGGACACCAGGGCGCGCGACCCTCGCAGAGTTTCTGCCCTTCAACGATTGGCTCCTCGATCGCATGGAAGCGTCGAGGTTGGAATGCCATTACCACGCCCTGCCTACGAACTAACGGACAAAGCATTAGCAAGGCTGCAGACCTCGCTGTTCGTTCCGGCAATTGAAAACGCGCCCCTTCCTATAGGGTTCCTTCAACCCAAATTCACCACGTATGAAGGGAAGACGAACCCTTACATTCACTTAAGCCACTTCTGTTAAGTTATGGCAGTATATCGGCGAAACGAGGCTCTAATGTGCATCCTCTTCCCGTCAAGCCTTGGTGATCTAGGCTTGACTTGGTTTGAAAAACTTCCAGAAGGCAGCATAGCCTCCTGGGCACAATTGGCGGAGGCATTTGTCACAAGATTCAGAACAAACACCAAAACCCCGGTGGAAATTGACCAACTACTCTCCATCGACATGGGCGAAAAAGAGACATTAAGGTCCTACAATAGTCGCTACTGGGAGACATTCAACCAGATTGGGGACTGCCCCACCAATCTCGTCATTGCACAGTACAAAAGGGGCCTTCCAGTCGGGAATAGACTAAGGGACTCTGACGCCACCCCTCACCATGGAGGCCCTGATAGAAAGAGTGCATCAACACATCAGGGTAGAAGAGGATGGCGCACGTGCCAAAACAAAATCTGGCACGACCATAGCACTAGAAAAGAAGACCTCAGCAAAGGTCAATACGGTAGATTGTCAGAACAGAAACGGACGTGGCAGGCGAGACAACGGAGAGGACCCGGATAAAAGATGGTTGAGGGTCCGCACGGCCATAACCACGGTATTTAAGAAACCGATCTACCGAATTCTAAGTGAAATAAGAGATGAGCCTTTCGTCAGATGGCCAGCTAAACTAGGGGAAGCTCAGAAGGACTATGACGAAAGATCACGGTGCACCTTCCACAAAGAAAAGGGGCACCGCACTGAAAATTACACGCCATTGAGACAACACCTGGAGGAGTTGGTGGCAGCAGACATGGATAATAATGAAGGGTGATGCAACCAGTCCCCTAGGACCATAATAACCCACGGGATGCCATCGACGCCTCCCCTCAAGGCATTATCAATGTGATAACATGGAGTCTTTTGAACTGAGCGTGTATGTGAGCTCAGGGGATCAATCAAAAAGTGCTGAACACTTAGAGAGGTGCTAAGTGCAACCCTGCCATCAAGAAGGGGAGACAGAGGCCACAAACGTCATGTCTTTTTCGGATAAAAGACTTGGAACGGATATTTGCCCTCACAATGATGCCCTAGTCGTCACTCTCCGAGTCAAGGATTTTGACGTCAAGCGAATTCTGATTGACCAGGGTAGTTCATGTGAAATCATGTACTACGAAACATTTAAACAATTAAAGTTACAAGATAAAGACTTTGCGCCTGCCATATCTCCCCTAATTAGATTCAACTCCATGCCAGAATGGCCCGTCGGCAAAATAATTCTTCCAGTCAGAGCAGGAAGCGTGACGAAACAAGTGGAGTTCTGGGTATTGAAGGTCCCCTCCACTTACAACATCATCTTGGGCAGAACATGGCTGCATGCCATGCGATCGGTGGTGTCATCCTACCACCAAGTAATGCGGTTTCCCAACAATACCGGGATAATTGAAGAAGTCTATGGAGATCAGATCATGTCGAAGCAATGCTTCGTCACGGTGAATGGCAGCCGCGCTGCCAAAGGATATGTTCATTCGGTGGAAGAACCTGAGAGCAATGAGCTATTCGCAGATGTCGGCAAAGTGCCTGATCAAAAAGCGGTGGAGGACTTGGTAGAGGTAAGAATAGATGAAAAGAATCCGGATAAGTTCTTTTTGCTCGGTTCGTCGTTGTCCAGCACTGAGAGATTAGAGGTCGTGGAATTTTTAACCTCTAATATCGAAGTGTTTGCCTGGACACCATACGACATGCCAAGCATTGATCCCAACTTCATCTGTCACTAACTCAATGTCTACCCAACCGCCAGACCAATCATTCAATGCACCCGTAGATCGGCACTCCACCATGCCGAGATAATGGCGGAAGAAGTAGGAAACCTGCTGGAGGCAGGAGCAATCAGAGAGGTACACTACCCAAGATGGATCTCCAACACAGTCATGGTGCCAAAGAAGAATGGCAAGTGGCGTGTCTGTGTCGACTACAAAACAGTCAATAAGGCATGTCCGAAAGACAGCTTCCCTCTATCACGAATAAATCAACTGGTCGACCTAACGGCGGGGCACAACCAACTCAGCTTTCTGGATGCATACAGAGGCTACCATCAAATCGACATGTATGAACCAGACCAGGAGGTCACATCCTTTACAACTCCAAGAGGACTATACTGTTACAAGGTCATGCCCTTTGGCCTAAAGAACGCAGGGACAACATTTCAACGAATGGTCACCAAGATGTTTGAACCATTGTTAGGCAGAATGATGGAGGCTTACATCGACGACATGGTGGTCAAAAGCAAGGATGAGAATAACCATCTCAAGGACCTACGAGAGATGTTTGAAATCCTGAAGAAGCACAAGTTGCGCCTCAATGCATCTAAGTGTGCATTCGGAGTAGGATCTGGCAAATTCCTAGGCTTCCTCGTGACTAACCGGGGTATAGAAGCAGACCTCTCCCAGATCAAAGCAATCCAGGATTTGGAGAGACCAAACTCAGTAAAAGGAATTCAATATCTGCCCATCTATTATGTCAGCAAGACATTGCTGGGAGCCGAAACAAGGTATTTGCCACTAGAAAAATTAGCACTGGCCCTGATGATGGCCCCAAGAAAGTTATCACACTACTTTCACGCCCACACTATAATCGTCCTCACAGCTTT